AAGCAGGGAAAGAGTTAATGATCAATGGAATTTATTATTTGGGTAAACCTCTCTGTCACATCTTTGAACTTTGATCTTTGCACTTTGTAGACAACTTATTTTCATACATAGCCTGCAAATTGCTGATTCTGTTCCTCTCAGAAGAGAATCAGCAATCACCATCACACACAGTTATTCTTTGGGGAGCTCAGTGGATTACTCTTCTTTGTGATAGTCTGAGTTACTTTCCTTACTATCACCGTAACACTTAATAAAGACTGTTCTCTAAATGTCTACATATTTTCTTCTAGAGGGAGGATATGAAATTGATTATTCAGCTCCAGTGACAGGGACAGTCTTTTTTGGTTTTTTTGTCCTCTTTGAGTAACATGATTCCATCGCTCTTCTTCTAGGGGTTCATTTTTTTCTGTAATTGTTTTTCCATTGCTGTGTTTAGTTTGCATACAGACTTTCATTTTTTCTAGGACTTCCTCAATTTCAAAGATAAGACTTCAGAGTGGCTAGATATGTCTACTTCCTCTACTTTTCCCTTGAAAAAAAAATCAATTTTTAAAATAATTTTAATGTTTAAAATCAATTTTTAATTTTATATATTTCATATTTGAATGCTATTATCTTTAACATAAAATTTTGATTGCTTTTGAAAGTCATTTTTATTTGATTACTCAAAAATGATTTGTTTTCCTTCTTTTGTATCTAAGCATCTAGTCGTGACTACCCTGATAATAAGTGAATTGAAGTTAAAGTTGTCATCTGCAGTCCCTTGTGAAAAAAAGCAGCTAACTGTAGTTAATTAACATGTTTAAAAAATCTTTGGACTTTTGTAATGTGTTCACATACTCTATAAGCTTGACTTTTTAAAAGTTAGTAGAATTAACAGCTTTTACTATTTATTTATTTTTTGGTTCAAGCTGTTTTAAATTCACACATTCCTATCCAAGCTAGCTAAAAGAAACAAAAACTCTTACTTATATCCAGGGTTATCAGTGGTGGGTTTCCATTTTTTTTTACTACTGATTCGCCTGTGTGTGTACACAATGCTTCTGCTCATGCTCAGAAGCATCCGGGCGGGTGGGCAGAGCCTCCCTCCGTTGATACCGTTTCGCTCGATCTGGGAGCAACCCGCCTCTAAGGGTTATAGCAGTGTTTTTCAACCTTTTTTGTGTAAAGGCACACTTTTTTCATGAAAAAAATCACGAGGCACACCACCATTAGAAAACGTTAAAAGAATTTAACTCTGTGCCTATATTGACTATATATAANAACGGCACACTTTCTTTCTATCTATCTATCTATCTATCTATCTATCTATCTATCTATCTATCTATCTATCTATCTATCTATCTATCTATCTATCATCACATGGACACACACATATTGTTCAAGGCAAGAAAAAAATCAAAAAGAAGACAAAAAAGGCCAAAACCACAAAGCAATCAAAACTTTTAAAGAAGGTGCATCACATATTCTCCCCTGTAGTTAAATAAATGCTATTAATACATTTTTACAGCATTAGTTCAATCCCTTGCGAAACAAGCCCTCTTTAAACTACTGAATCTATTTACATATTATTGACTTGTCTTCTATATGCTACATTAGTGACAAAATAGTTTGCAGGAAGAATACTACTACTAAAGCAAAACCAAATTAAAGTTTGAAAACTCTCTGTTAACAAACACATTGTAATCTACTCAAAGAAAGTTTACCATGGTATCTGATCTATCCCAAATCATCCCCAAAGTTATAAATTTGTCCTGGATCGAATATCCACATTTGCTTCTTAATTCCATCTCTTATCAATTATTTAATTAAATATAATAAATTCAGTTTCCAGAATAAGTCTAGCTTCTGATCAAAACCCAAATTCAGTTAATTGTAATAAAACTATCCAGTCTCTCTTGTTCGTAGAAGAAAGGACTTTGTCACTTTCTCTTTCAGTTTGATTCCTTATATTGTAGGAATATGCAGACTTAAACTTCGGTGCAACAGATTAAATCCACTTTATTAGTTTTCCAGGGTTGAGACTATCCCTTTGGTCTGGAATTGGATCAAAGTTCTTTCTGTATTTTTAATCAAAGTTTCATGCCCTCACATATTTTGCAAAATCATTATCATCTCATCATGGTTTTTAAAGAGAAATATGCCTAGAAGCTGCATATTCTCCCATTCTCCTTTTCAGCCACTGTTCAATCATTTTAATCTGTGAAATGTGATCAGAGAAGAAAGAACAAAGAAAGTATGATTTCCTCTACATATCAATCCAATATTATAAGAAAGGTTTAATAGAAATAAACCCCAGGTATTTTGTAAATTCAAAAAATATAGAGATTCAATGGTGGGAATGTAAAAACCTCTTAAACCCCACTCCCTGAACAGTGCTGTGCTTCCATTAGGAGGGAACAGAGGTTAGCCAGAATAACATATATCACAAAGAAAGAAAAGGAAAAGCAATCAGAATCCAATAAGATGTTAAAATAAATGAGCACTAAACTGCTAATAATTTTTTAAACAAAAAACAAAATGAAACTATACATTCAGAAAGTGAAAGAGGCATTCTCAGAAGATGAAACTGCTGAAAGGAAGATGTACACACCCCTGACTTTTTGATTATTTCCAGAGGGAATTGGAATCTTCAAGACCCCTCTTCCCAACTGGGTCCATGATCGTCCAGAAGTCTTCTTCGGTCATTCCTAAATGCTCTCATTCAAAACCAAGGAGCAGCGTTGCCAAAGAACCAGCTTTGGCAGTAAAATCAGCAGATTGTTGGTAAGAGAAAAAACAAGCTCTTACCATGCAACAGCTATTTTGAGAGGAAGTTCTAAGACGTGCTATATTCTGATTCAGAACTGGTTTATTGTTTAAAAAAAGGCATGGATAGCCTTTAGGAAGCTTATAGAGTGCTCATGGGGCCCCGGGGGGTTAAAATTGAGCAAAAAAACTTTTTTGCTCATTTTTGCCCTCCCCAGCCCCAGGAGTTCTCTGAAAGCTTCCTACAAGCTATTCACGGCCATTTTGGTGAAGGAGGTGGGGTTTCAGGAGGCAAAAAATGCTGTATTCAGTGTATAAGATGCACCCAGATTTTCAGCCTCTTTTTTGAGGGAAAAAGGTGCGTCTTATACTCGAAAATAAGGTACTTAACAGCTTGTGCTTGGTGAAGAAGTGGTGTTATCCATGCCCTTTTTTAAACAATAAACAGGAAGAACAACTTCTTTTCCAGGTGTTAATTGAAAAACAGATCAGTCACAGGACAGATACTGTTTGAGTCCAGGAAAAGGCGTGTGTAAAGTCTTGTTGATGGTTACAGGAAATAAAGGGGTACAGCCAGATCCAAAACACTGTCCCTCTTCCTGATCATTAAAATACACAGTATAACTGATTCTTTGAAAGATAAGTATAATTTCACCTTGCTAATTCAAAATTAGGTCAATAAAAGAAGTAACCAAACTGAAAGTCCAGATAATATTCGTTCGGTTGTAATTTAATCAAATTATTTATTTTTGAAATTTACTCTTACCTTTATTGAGATAGTGTAGTATTCTAAATAATGCTTCAGTTAGGAAGGTTTTTGTAATTTGAATGAGTACTAATTGAGTTTTTGTCCTTGTTGGATTTTTTTGAATTTTATTTATACATTTTTTCTTTAAAACACATAAGTGCTTAATAAACAGTCTGGATCAATTTGCTTATACAAAGTATTAATGGTAATACTGGTAATAACAACAACAACCACAGTAATCATAATACTATATACTTACATATAATGAAATTCTTGCATCATTTACTTATACATATCAGTAATCTTTCATCCTCTAATTTCTGTTCTATCTAACCATTGATAAAATCCATGTTAAAAATACTCTGTTTCTTATCTTTTATTATTAATGTCAGTCTGTCCATTTCCTCACAGTCTTAATATTTTTCTAATTATACTTTTATCTGCAGATGTATCCTATTTTTTCCAATCTTGAGCAAATATAATTCTCACTGCTGTCAGCACATATATTATTAAATATGTAATCCCTTTATTATAATTTTCTGGTAATATACATTAGAAAAATATTTCTGGTTTTAAGTGTATGTGTTGCTCTCTCATTTTCTCTAACTATGTATGTATTTTCGTCCAAAATTGTTTTGCCTTTAAACATGTCGACCACATGTGATAATAAGAACCCAGTATCTGATTACATTTCCAACATTTGGCGGACACATATTTAAATATATTTACTAGTCTTGCTGGTGGCAAGTGCCACGTATAAAACATTTTATACTGGTTTTTTTTAATAAGTGGTTGCCATTGTCAATTTATAATTTCTGTCCCAAGAGTTTTTGCCATTTATCTAGCTCTATAGTATAGCCAAAGTTTTTTGCTCAAACTTTCTTTCACCTTTGTCTTCCATTTTGATAATTAATAAATAGCTATATATTTTCTTTATTAATTTTTCATCCGTCCATAAAAGTATCTGATCAAGTGCTGTTGGCTTTTTATAAAAGGCATATATCTTTGCGTCTTTCACATATCTTGATTGTATTTGCAAGTGTGCCCACCATGCTAAATTTACCCTTTGATTCTACAATTCCTGTGTAAAGTTCCTCTTCTTCATTTAAAATGTCATATGTTAGAATTTTTTCCAAGTTAACAACATTTGGATGTATCAGTGCTTCCATCATAGAAATTTTCATATAGTTTTTTTGTTTTGACTTTGGTTTTTATACTAAAAATAGTGTGCTTCTTACATAATGTCTTTGGAGATATCTATATATTTTAATCTTGTCATACCACATAAAGCATGCCATTCCAATTGGAGATCATGTCTCTCCTATAATAATTGAAATATTAAAGGATTATATATGAGAGCAGGAGATATAATTATTTGTTGCAAATGTCTACAGAACTGAACTTGAAAAATTGACTGTCATTGTGATCAGGCAGATGCATTGGAAGGCAGGGCAGAACCTACATGTCACACCTATTAATAATACAATTATTATATGCACTTCAGAGCTGAAGCAGCACAGCATCACATTGCAGAGCTGAATCCATATGTCCAAGTGATGTCATCAACTGATCCATTAAATGAAATAACTGATATTTCTTTTCTGAAACAATATCAGGTATGTGGTACCTTTTTGAAATATCTTCCATTTAATTAGCTTTGATGCCTATAATAGTCACTCCTGTTCCAAACTCCTGCTTTGTACATCTTGAAAATGGCAGTGAAAAATTTCTGAAGGCATTTAAAATTGTGGCAATTCCTTTTGCTACTTTTAAGGAAAAGCCAATTTAGATAGTGAGAACCTACCTTATTTTTCCTCAAAAAAGAGGCTGAAAATCTGAGGGCGTCTTTTTGCCTCCCGAAGCCCATCCCTTCACCAAAAGGGCCGTGCATAGCCTTATGGAGGCTTTCAGAGAGCTCCTGGGGCCTGGGGAGGGCAGAAATGAGCAAAAAATGGGCCTTTTTTGCCCCTCCCAACCCCCAGCAGCACTCTATAAGCCTCCATAAGGCTATGCATGCAATATTTCTGACAAAAATGGGCTTGTTTTTGAGAAAAAGGGCCATTT